ATATATATATATATATACTGCACACGTGAATGAGTTTCAAACAGGTTGTTCCGAACGTTTATTCTTTTTACGAGAAAAACCCACCTGTTACATCCTTATTGCTTTTATCAAGGTAATTACTTACTGCCCCGTAATTTCTAAGAAAAATTACAAACAATTTACAGACACCCCTTTCATTTCAACAACATCATCTAATTAAAACTCAAATATGTGGAGAACGGTCGTGAGTGCTGAAAAGTTTTTGGCTTTGCCGAATTTCTAAAATCTAACCAACCTGTGACATGCTAGTTAGGCCTCTGGCCCAAAACTACATGAACTTCAGATCCAGATGAAAAAACAGCAATGATAATTTTGAAGAAATAACCTAGAATTCCTTAATTCCCTTCACGGAACTTCAAACCTCTCTTTAACTCTGATTCGGATTATAAGTTCAATTCCAGTCAAAAGACCAGCTTATGCCGAAATTCCAAGTGAGTTCTTCAAATCAAAAATGCCATGCAACTTCAATTGAGCTAAGTTCTTCAAACCACAAACTCTGATTCCTTGGCATTTTAAAGAAATAAAATTGATTCCCTCAATTCACAAAGTTTTGGGGATATTTTAAAATGAATTTAAAACAAACAAAATAATTCACAAAGTTTTTGTGTTACTTTAAACTCAATATAAATTAAAACCTTTTAAAATCACTAATTTTTTCAGTTATTTTAAAATTTGAATCCTCATCCGAACACAAATATCAATGCTGAATTTTCAAGCACCAGTTGAAGGAGAAATTGTCAATCCTGGAATCATGCTGTTTCAAAAAGGTATATGTCTATGTAGATCAAGTGTGGAGCAAGTTAGATAGGTTTCAAACACACGGACGGACGGACAGGCAGAATTTGTCATTTATTTATTTATAAAATCACAAGGGATATTAAGTGTCTAGTTTTTGTCAATTTGCTAACATCAGCATCTGCTAAAAAATGTTTCAGAGTATAACGCAGGATTTTTGGGCACCTAGGCGTGGTGTGTTGGTTAGCAAGCTTGTCTCGCTAGATCAGTTACGACTGAAAAGTGAGTTCGATCCTCACTAGGTGTCCCATACGTTCGGCCTTGTGCCACATCTAAGCTACGCTTAGAAAATAACTATAAGGCAGGATTTAAGTAAAATGGTGAGGCGATTGTGATAGAATCATTACAGGCGGCGACTATCTTAACAACATAAGATATACAGATGACACAATGTTGATAGCAGACCAAGAAAGGAAATTAAAGAACATCCACATGAGCTAGTTAAGGATAGCGAGAAGAAAGGACGAAGCATCAGTTACAAAAAGACAAAATACATGAATCCAGCAGCAAAAGAAACATACAGCATGCAAATTACATATTAGAGATACCAATATCAAATAAATGCAAAAAATGAAATATCTGGGAAGTGTTTTAACAGAGAACGGAAAGTAAGTGTGAAACTGAAATCAGATAGCGAATTGTGATAGCGAAAAATGCCTTTCAAAAGCTAAGCAAAGAAAAATTTCATTAGAAATAAAGAAAAGAGTACTGACGTGTTACGTAATATCAGTCTTCCTATAAAGCAATGAATGCTGGACAATCTCCTCACAGATAAAGAAGAGACGAAACAACAGAAATGTGGTTCTACAGAGGGATGCTGAGAATACCATGAACCAAATATGAAGTTTTAGAGAAAATGTAAAATAAAATGGACATTTTATACTTAACATCAGAAAGAGATAGTTGAAGTTTCTAGTTGAGGACTTGGAAAATTTGATAATCACAGGGCCCATTGAAGCCAAAAGGAATAGTAGAAATCAACACATAACTTACCTAGTGAGCTGGAGTAAATGGATGGCGAGACAAGGTTAGGAGAAATAGCCCATTTATTAAGAAAATTGTGAAGAGCCATGATCGCCAATAACTTCAAGGAAGCCAAACTAACCAACTCTTGAAAACAAATCATCATTATAAAATAAAAATAACTCTTTGATCAAAAGCAAACAACGTAACATCAAAATGTCTGTTTGTTATCTCTGTGAATGAATGTTGTAATCACATTTGCAATTGCTTAACTAAACTGTGTGCGCAAAGTTGCTGCAATAACTGTCGACTACAAACCGATGTTAATGCGCTCGTGTCTGTATTTGTATATGAATGTTAAACTTTACTGTTGAACATTAGACAGAGATTAGACAGGCAGAGAATGAAAATGAGAGATTGCGAGACTTGTAAGAGAGGAATGCCGGATAAGACGTCAGATATAAAAATCAAAAGTACTTATTCAAAGGACAAAATGAGGAGAAACTTCCATCCAACCAGTACTTGATGAGGTGTATTGAAATGATGAACACTAGGTAAAAATAATGATTACCACCGACTTTCTGACGAAATAGTCCACAAAAATATTCTTGATATGAGATGATATGTTGAAGTCGGATCTTCCATACAAAAATCATATAATTAAACCAAAACTATTTTGAACTATTTTTTGCAGAGAATTATTCGCTTTGAAGAAGTGTTTTAATGATGCGAAGTAATTTACCTTAAAGTAATTTTATTACGGAATCAGCACCGAAAGTGAGACTGGTGTGCCAAATCCAGATTACATTCGAGATTGTTGCGATCGCTTTCGTACAAACACACTTGTTATGGTAGAAATCCTTCTCTTCTCTCTTAGCTTTAGGTTAAAGTGAAGGACAAACGGGTCTCTTTAGATGCCCAACAACCAGCCTTAGAATAGGAAAACTCTGAATTGGAAACTGATTCTTTTGGGGCTATTAACTCCATTCTGTAAAATCATATTTGCTACTTGCAATATTTCTCTCTATCAATATAACATATATATATATATATGTGTGTGTGTGTGTGTGTGTGTGTGTGTGTGTGTGTGTGTGTGTGTGTAATAATACCCCACTCTATCACTCTCTCTCTCTCTCTCTCTCTCTAGATATATATATATATATATATAAATCCCCCTCTCTTCCTCTCTCTCTCTCTCTCTCTCTCTATATATATATATATATATATATATATATATAATATATTTATTTAAAAATTATAACATAAATATGTAAAATCACTACAAAATATTTTGTAGTGATTTTATAACATATTTATATTATAATTTTTTATATAAATAATTATATCTGCTCTACTCTGTATTGAGCACTCTTTTATGAATAGTAATTGTTGGTTATTGGAATTTATTCCGTATACACCAATCATATACTTGGCTATATATATATATATATATATATATATATATATATATATATATATATATAAAATTGAAACCAACCCAAAACAAAATTAATTATGAAGACTGCACAGATGTTTTAAAATGTCCATAGCACATAGTTTAAAATATGTAGATTTTAACATAGTTTTTTAACATTTCTGTTTTGTTTTTTTTAACTCTGGACATTTCAAACTTTAGTTACTTCCTCTGACATTTACATCGTGAAATCTAAACCGCACAAAACATAACTTTAGAGTTTTTCACTTCACACTTTCAGATGAACACAACTGTTTTCTCTTAAGAAAAAAACAACACCCTGATTATGACATTGTGCTAATGTCAAATGTACTCAAAATAAATGAATATGTAGAATGAGAAGCTTATCCCTGAGGATCCTATTGAAAATAAGTAAGCAAAACTTTTCTAAATTATTCAATGATATATATATATATATATATATATATATATATATGGTAACAGTAGACGCGCAAAGCGAGTATGACCATCACTGAGATGTCCAGCCCTTCACTTACCCCCCACCCCCCACAACACTGCATTCATCGGTTGTGTGAACGACAGTGTCTCATAAAGCCAGCCATTTCAACCTGTATTTCTTGTCATATATGTGGCATATCAGATCATCTCCTGGTGGTGGAAGGAGACTTTGATTATCATCATTTCCAATGTGCCCTTTCATATGTCTTGTCAGGCCCAAACTGGACTTGCACACCTTAGTACAGGTCGGGCATTCAAAGCATGCCATTACGAAATCGTCAGATACAATAAGTATTGGTGATGGTTTCACCGCTCGTGACTGAACAGGCCCGCCCTAGACATACAGGATTATACGGGATTATATATATATATATATTTATAAGCAGTAAATTCGACCTTGCCTACCGAACGCTCCTTTGTGGCCGAGTCGGTTAAGGCACGTCAGCGTAAATGACGGTTCCGTATAGGATGCAGGTTCGAATCCTGTCAAAGGACGAATATTTTCTATGAAAATTTCTCGGACATTCAGGCCGGTAAATGTTATTTAATACTGTTTATTATAAACAGAGCATTTACTTAAATACTTGTATCTATAAAAAGAATGTTAAACATAAAAATGTCTTTAATAAATATATATATATGTGTGTGTGTGTGTATCCAATCCAAAATACTTTTACGAACTTTGTGGGCGGGTTTCTCACACCACAACAAGGACAAATGTCCATATAAAGTCCATGAAAGATGGATAGATAGGGGAGGACATGTTACATAGCCTGCGCATTCCCCAGACCTCAATCCTTCGGAAATTTTAACTGTGGGCCCACCTAAAATAATTCGTTTATGCATCAGACATTAATAGTGCAGAGATTATTTCATCAACATGTCATGGGGCCCTGCGAAACCATTCGACACCATGTGGGAGTATTTGCAAGCGTCTGCCAGTCATTGATCCGACGGGTGCATGCGTGTGTTGAAGCAAGCGGAGGACATTCTGAACATTTTTTGAGTTGCTGTTTTGAAGTACAAAGAAGGCCTAAGGATTTGCGGACATATTTTTACATGGACTTTTGTCCTTGTTTTAGTGTAAGGAAAACGCCCCTAGTATTTTTGATACACCCTGTATATAGAACTTTCTATTTTTCTCTCCCCCTCAAATACACACACACGCAAATACACATACACACACACACACACACATTAGATAGATAGATAGATAGATAGATAGATAGATAGATAGATAGATAGATAGATAGATAGATAGATAGATGTTTACGGCCATATCAACTTGAAATACCGGTTCCTGTATAATCATCATAGTGAAACAGCGATGAGTCTGGTTATTACTTAGATGTGTGTCCGCTTGGGAATACCAGGTGCTGTAACCTTAGATGTGCGGGTGGTGTAAGGGATGATAACACGAAATTCTTAATCGGAAAGCCACGTTCCAATTTCTGTTGGTTTCGTTATACTTTACTTACGCGCAAATACCCTTTAGAAAGGTATGAATCTCCCTCTTCTCCATCCCAGCTATAGGTTAATTAGTAAGACCTGCATCACTAAATTATTATTATCTCCCACAAAAATCCCAATAAACTAAAAATATTTTCTGGCTTTCTCTGCAAGGCTTTGATAAACCGTAGAAAACAAATCAAGGAATCAATAGATAGATATAAAAAGAGACATCAGCCCATCAGGGTCAAATAATGTATTTACTAACACCTTGATAAGCGGATGCCATTTCTGCAAAACTTTGATCAGAGAAGATACGAACTGAACATTTTATTTTATTTGTTTACTATCACTTTTTTTAATGTTCAGCACATCACTGACAAAAACCTCTTGCTTTAAAAACGTTATTTAGAAAGAGAGAGAGAGAGAGAAAGAAAGAAAGAGAGAGAGAGAAAGAGAGAGAGAGAGAGAGATCGGCCTATCAGAGCTTGATGAACGCATCTACAGGAGCAACGCTATGCTTCATAGGACAGTCTTCTTTGGGCTTAATCCCTTCAGACCGTGGGCGATCTTGACTTTCAGTGTCTTTTTCTTTTGCCAAGCCTCCTGTCTTCCGTTCCTCCATCCATTTACACAAGCTTATCTGGTAGCTAATCCACTGCTGTCTTCATCTCTTTCTCTCTATATCTGTATCTATAAAAAGAATACCCGCTCGGTCCGGTGGCTAGGATCAAAGTGTAGTATCTGCGCTTTGTGAGCTGCTGGGTCGTGTGTCTGTCGAACTCTCTGCTTGCAGAGAGGAACCCGGACGAAGCTCCGCCGAAGGGTAGGGTTTCGTTGGGGGAGGTTGACGGAACTGGCCCGCCTCGGCGGGTTTGGATGGTTATTTGTTTTGGGATGGGCCTACGAGCTCAGAGATACTCACATTAAAAAGGCCTTGTGCCACATTCGATCCCCGTGGGTGGATTGATAAATACCATCTCTTTCTCTCTTGGCCCCGGTATGCTCTGTGTGAGTCAGTGTTTCCAAACCATCCTTCTTCATTATGTATCCAAGAGACTTTAGCTGTCTTTTATTCGGAATATAAGGGTTCATTTTGTTACGATTTCCTTTCAGTTTTTCTAACTGCTTGTTCGCTCCGTACATGAAATTCTCAGCAGGCTTCTGTAGAACCACATTTCTGCTACCTCCAATTTTCTCTTCATTCACTGTCATATAAGAGGATTGGTATCACATCGAATCTCAGTGCTCTTTGTTTCTAACATTTTTCTGTTTCTTAATATTTTGTTTAACTTTTGGAATGCCTTTTTCTCTAATCCTATGTGCCTTCGGGTTTCGGTATTGCAGTCTTTCACTTCCAATACTTTTAGACTCCAGTACTTTCTTGGCTTGATACCTTTATATCTTGATATCTTGTCTTTATACAATTGATGGCTTTATTCTCGATTTTCTTTACAATCTTATTTAGATGGCTCTATAATTTTCTTTCTGAGTCTGCCATCTATTTAGGGTCATCTGCGTATCATAGATACGTAATCATAAGATTACGCCCACCGATAATAAATCATGGTCTCCCTTAAGATAGCGTCACTATAGAGTTTAAACAAGTCTGGAGAGAAGACATAACCTTGTCTGACGCTCCTTTCTATTTTGCACATTTGATTCATTATCCGTTTGCAGGAAATGGTTTTCTCTCAGTATAAGTTCTGAATTATTGTAAAATCCTTCCCAAATAAATCTTGTTTTCCTAACAGTTTGAATAGATCCTTGTCCTGTATTTTGTCAAATGCTTAAGCTATGAAACATAAATACACATCCTTTTGCACTTGTGCCAATACCTCCGATATCATTCTAATCCTAAATATCGCATTTCTTCTTTCCTTGACTTTGAACGTAATTCGGTTTAATATGCTCGCATTTTTGTTTGGCTCACATCATAGATTTTCTTGTATCTTCTCCTTTTCTGCATTGATAAAGCTTGACTTAGTGCAGTTCAAGTCATAATGTGTAAGAAACAGGCATCAACAGTTACATCAGTCTCCCAATTTGGAAAATACTGACTCGAAAATGTACATTTGAAGTCACCTCAGCTATGTAACAGATTCTTTATTATTTCCCTATTTATTTAGACAATTGTCATAATATTTATGACAGATTCTCGATCGGTCCTCTCCCCTTCGGGCATGTACTTATTCTAGTAACTTTGGGCTACGTTTTCATACCCTCTCATCTTTGATATCAGGATCCGTTTGCAGAGGGATTCTGCTGAAGAATTAAAAACGTTAGAAGAGAAAAAAAATGAATGATGGTCAGAGACACTACATGTATATGTCAAATATTCTACGTGTTCATTTCAGCGTTTCATTATCATCCTAGATCATTGTAGATTATATTGTTAGCGAATCTTGTGAGTTGTTAATAATCCTTTTGTTTCTGAGATTTTAAGCATATATATCTCTTTTCGAACTTTTTTTAATCATTTCTCCCCAAGCATGACAATAAAGCCACTAAAATGCAAGGGGTTTCCTGAGTGTGAGAGAATTTGAGAAAAACAGACATTATTAAGAAGAAAACTATAATAAATTAACAGGAATGAAGAAGACAAAAGATGAAGACTGACATTGCATTTAAATTGAATTTAAAGTTGACTAGAAATTAGGAAGCCGGTAACAAGTTCCACAAGCGAGAGGTGCTCGAGAAGAAACTGTTAGCATAGAACGTACTGTTGGATCTAGCCATTTCAGCAATAAAATGGTAAAATCTTGCCACCAATCTAGTACTGTGCTTAAATTCATAAAGTCTAAGTACCAAAGAAGATATTTATTTTATGAAAGGCCAAAAGGAGGGATGAGGGTGGCTTGTTTTCTTTTGTCATATAATTAAAATTAGCTAGACACAATTACCGACCCAAACATACCACACTATTTCCTACGCCAAAACATACCACACTATTTCCTACGCCAAAACAACATATTCTTACTTACCATTCTTCCTACAGCAACCATAATACTTCAGAGTCTCGTTGAAGTCAGTTTACATATCTACCAAAGAGGAAAGTTCATCAGAACAATTACAATGAAATTATTTATAGAAAAGGCACAGAGAAACTACGTGGGAAGGTGACTGGGGACGAGATGCTAGGCCATAGCTGATAACATTGCAGATTATTCGTTTGATTTTATCAGTAATCTCTAAATACAAAGCTGAAGCACCTGACCAGCAATATTCAATCCATGAACAAATGGTAGATTTATAAATGTGTAAGACAGATTCTGGAGATAAAAAATGTATCTGGCACGGCACTTGCATAGCTGCATTATTCAAATTAAACCTTCTGAGAAAATTAATATATTTAGTTATCAGTCATCAATTACTTTTACTTCAACCAAGCCTCGGGTGAGATGTCATTTTCGTAAAGTAAGTCTGTAGTCTCTAGTGATACAAGTCAGTTTCTGTCATCCAAATATAAACAAAGTTTAAATCAAAAACTACGTTAATTAATTTAGAATTTGCAGGAGTTCTTCTGGGATTTAAGATTTATAAGCAATTGTGCAAAAATACTTACTAATGAATATCGTATAGTATAGAAGTAATGAATGAGAATTTTAAAAAAGAATAATGGAGACGGTCGGGGAAAAAATGAACTGTCAAGACAAATTTGTGATGGATATATTGACAGTCATGGCCGGTATTTAAAAAAAAAAAGATGTTTATATTTTGATTCTTATGTTATTTTAGTTGTTTTATTTTTGAGCTTTCTTCATTATATTACTCGTATTGTGGGCGGTACCTCAGCGTGGGTTAATGATTAACGAGGCTACTCTGGTTGATCATTACGACTGAGTAGTGCGTTTGATTCTCACTGAGTGTTTCATACAATTATTCGACCTTTAATTATCTGACAAGGGTTGACACGTAAAAACAATCAACATGGGGTAAAAGTTAGCGAGGATAATTTGGTTGAAAATTACTACTGAGTAAGGACTTCAATTCTCATCGGGAGCTTCATACAAATATTCGACATTTTCTACATCTTTTATGTTTGATTTGTTTTTTTTTAGTTTGACAGCATATCAACATCAATGGGTTATTTAATGCCGGCAAAATTTTATTGCTGGTAATATTTTTTCAAAAATGCTGGTATTTTTTTTCCAAAAATGTATTGCTCGTAAAATGTTTTTGTTTCAAAAATGTATTGCTGGCATTGTTTTTTTGTTTCAAATATGCATAGCAGTATTTTTTTGTTTTGTTTTTTTAAAAAAAATACACTGCTGGCAATAATTATTTCTTCAAAAATTTATTGCTGGTAATAATCTTTTATAAAGTATTTCTCGTATTAAAACGTATTTTACACTTTCATAGTGTTTTGACTCCAGCTGATGAGTTAACTATTTACCCATACATAAGACCCTAACAGATGCTACCAACCCGGTTCAAAGTGGACCTGGGAACACCAGCAATTAAGAGGTGGTTCCATGCTACTTAAAAACTCCCAATCAGAGGCCTTGCTGTCGGACGTAGTTTATCGTCTTCCCCAGGACGCGGATGTAGTTTATCATCATACTCAGGTCGGCTCTTATGTTTGTATATTTCCAAAGTACTACATCATGAACAAGTTCATATTTCGACTATTTTCATGCAGAAAAAACACAGATAAATCTACTAAAATTCCAATATTACCATTATCTTTTTTCTTCAGCATCCGAATGATTTCTTTGTTTGTTCAATTACTTCTATTGACTCCCGTTTCCTTTTCACCATTATTGTACATTTGATGATTGCGAGCCAAATTTTAATATAATTGAAGTTTGACGGTACGCTTACTCCGACATACAGCGCCCCCAACAAAAAAATTTCTTAGTTCACCTCAGGCACCGAACTACACGGGCAACTCCATATGTAGTGATTACGATGTTCCCCTGAGAGAGAGAGA